AATCGTAAGGTTTGATACTAAAAATTTCTTTTTCGACATAGAACGTTACTGCAATTATAAATTCGCATTTAAGCATTGTAGTAAAGATGGATGCATTGCATATTGAGGTATGGATAGATATTAATGGTAAAGGTTATCACTTCTCGCTTTATATTTTAATTTTATGAGTTTGACAATTAGGTGTTTATTACTTAAATGAGACAGCTCAAGTGAAGTGATAGAACCTTAGTAAAATGAAACAGTATGAATGTGATCTATGATCGATGATCGATCAAAAGCAAATGGTTTAGTTTTATTATGAAAATTTGATAAAATCACATTTTAAGTTCCATAAATAACCAATGTTTTCGATGGTAAAACTGAATTTATTCATTGCAATGTGGCAAAATTTCGTTACCGGTAGAAATTCCACTATTTTCTGGATAATGTATTTGCAATTTTCAGAAAATCCTTACAACTGCAAATCTCTTTCAGATTTCGTTGGATTAGAAATTGCTTATAGCTAAGTTAAAGATATAGTTAAGTATAGATAAATAACGTTGAGTGTCGAAGTTCATATTAAACTTAGGTGGTAATGAAATTTCAAGCAGTAAATTTTGATGGTATAGAATCAAACATTTGATGAATTAGTACTGGAAATGCTGGTTGCAAAGTTGGATGGACAGTGAAATGAAGTAGATGCTCCATTCACTCAACTTTGATTTTTAATTATAATTAACGACGATTTCATACACTAATGGATGATTTGATTTTACCAATGAAATTATTATTTTGCATTATCACTGATATTCGAGCATTCCAAAAATTGCTTACGCAACCGTTACGATGGCACCTAATCAGAATTTAATAGGCATTGACAGCTTATCTGATCACACAGCTAAGCAATTGTTGACGAATGACCAGTACGTGTAAACATTAAGAAAGCTACGGAATGAATGATCACGAAATCATTTGTTAATGATACACTCAGGCAAAAATCATACTTGTCTGATACTATCAGTGATACCTGATGTCTTATCCTACTGATATCATTCGCCTTTCCTTCCTATACTTTTGCTGTAATTTATGAAATTTCATCTTAAAAAATTGAAGGGGAAAAAGGAACTTGAGAAAAATGTATTCTCTTCATTGTCTCCACATTATTCCCCTCATTTCTTTTCTAAAAAGAAGAAGTAGGATCATTTTCTGATCTATAAATTCCTTCTCTAATTACGATAACAATAGCAATCACATTAGCAAGCCTTGTTTCTCAAACAAATGAGATGAAGTGAATAACTTCATCGAATTAATTCACTTCAATTACAATTTCTCATATCATGCTTTCAACGTTTACAATTAAAAAAAAATGATTAACGCTACCATATATTAAGACATATTCCTTTAAGGAAGTATTCATCCACCAAATGGTCCAATCATTTTCCCAACTTTTAACCATTACTTGGTTAACTGTAATTAATGCCCGTCAATGGAATCAATTTGAAGTTTGTTATCTTTGCAATAATGAAATGAATCAATGTAATTATCAAATAATACTGTATTGCTTAGCTTCAAAATTGCGGCAATCTTTTGAAATATTATAAGAAGCCTTGCTTTTTTTTCCAGCAATCAATCAACACAAGAAATGTTTGAAGAAATAAATTTTCCGTTATTTTTCATTTAATTCAAATTTGAGTCTAATATTAAAATCAAATTTCAATTTAATTGGATATCTAACAATATGCATTGAAAGATCGAATTTTCCACAAATCAGGTTATTTGGAACGTTCCAAGTGAACAATGCATGACGAAATGGAAAGAAGATGAAAAACCAGAAAAGTACGGTATACTCGTGAATGCAGGACATAAATTTCGTGGTGACATTATCGTTACTTTATACGAAAAAGAATTCGGCTTATATCCATACTATCATAATTTTTCTGATCTGACATCGGCTGTTAACGGTGGCATCCCTCAGGTGAATGATCAACCAACAGTAGTCATCTAATCTTTCTCCTGTAGTAAGATGCAGGAATAATAAGAGACCGATTGAAATGACATCAATGAGATAATCATTTTTGAACCTGTTTTGAATTTTACTTAAATTAGAAAGTGTTTCAAGTTATTGAGATAATCCGTTTCTTCAACATTTAACCTTCCATGCAGAATCAGAGCTGCAACACATCACTTATGGAAGAGGCATACATAATTAGCAAAATTTACTTACTCTTTGAGAATCAGTTTTGATGATAGATTGAATCATTCCTTCGGTAAACAACCATATTTAGTTGTTTATTGAGGATATATCAATGTAATTTCATAGATTTCTCTCCAATAAAATATCAAATTTTTTTTCAATTCGATTTTAATTCATTCATTTTTCTGTTTCAATGAAATTAATTCCATTTTGCAGCGCGCAAATCTTTCAGCGCATTTGTCGAAAGTTCGCAGTGATATAGAAAAAGAGATACCGAATAAGGATTTCGATGGTTTGGCAATAATCGATTACGAAGAATGGAGACCACTTTGGGAACATAACTGGTATACGAAACGGATTTACCGTAATGCATCTCTGGCTTATGTTGAGGAACAATACAAAAAAACGGGAAAAGCTTTAACCAATGGTGATGAACTGGCTAAACAAGAATTCAATCAGGCAGCAATGTGAGTAAATTATCTGCTTTTCAACCTTTGAACCAAAAAAAGCAAATAATTTTTTAAGTTACTGTAGGACATTTAAAACGAAAATTTTATTTGTCGACGAAGTTCAGTTCAAATTAGAGAACAGCTATACTTTAGGAAATTTTTAACGGAAACTATTCGTGAAGCAAGAGACCAAATGCCTTATGGGGATTTTATGGCATGCCATTTTGCAATTACAATGCAGGGAAAAATGGCACTGTAGGATGCGGCGAAGTATTTGAAGAATTCAATAATCGGTTAGCATAAATATTTTTGGTTAGGGATGAAATTTCAAGGAAAATTTAAGATTACATGAAATATTGCCTTCAACAAATAATACCGCCACGTAATTTATTTTACTTTTACAAATTTTTTATAATAATTTTTTCTAAAAAATAATTTGCATATTCCTCATTTATACTTCGTTGTTTATTACATTTGCAACATTCTGTTTTTACTTCATTCCTTCGAAATTTATTTCATCAATTTTCTAAATAAAAAAATTTGAAAAATTATACAGATTACAACCTCCGCATGTTGAAGCTACCGCTTTTTATCCATCCATTTATTTGCCAAGCAGAAATAGTGGTCGTACTGGTTGTTTGTACGTCACTTCCGTCCTTCAAGAAGCTAAACGTTGTGCAGAGAACTTGTCAATACCGATATTCACGTTCAATGGTATTGAGTACTTCCCATTGAATCTGCTGATTCATATTATGCCAAAGTGAAATTTCTCTTAAAAAAAAAAATATTGTAACGTTTGCTTGACAATGGTGAGGTAATTGTAAATTTCTCTTTTAAATTAATCAAAATTTTATGCAAAACATATGAAAATTTCTATTACAAAACCCTTCATTGGCCTGAAGATCGAATGAAAGCACAAATTATTTAAAGTATAAATATGGCAAAATTAATTGCTTTTGATTATATCAATAATTTTACAAAATTTTACTTCCTTCTTCTATCCTTTCAAATTTCTGCATTTTATACTACTACAAATTCTACTTCAAAATTGCCCCTTTCAAAATTCGTCTTCCTTTTTTTATACTTGCTTTATATCGAGTAATTTCGCATCTAAAATAATAAATTCAAATTATTTGAAGTAAAGCGATCAATTGAATTAAAGCTTTCTATTAAATTTCAATTGCTATTAATTTGTATTATTTTTGGTTTGAAAGTAGTTGTTAGTTGAATTACACAATCACAAATGTATGATAATAAAATATTTTGATTGGAGTAAAATTTGATAACATTGAAACATCAAAGAACGTAAACAATCATATAGCAAAATATTTTGCATAAATGTTCAGAATTTATTATCATATTGATGTAAAATCATTAATATTTATTACCATATTGATGTAAATTATTAAAGTTTCTCGTAATAATAAATATTAATATTACTTTGCTTGCAAAATTTCCAACAAACATTCCGAATATCCGACCGAGTGGATACTATAATCTTGTCACCTGATCTCTTTGTCTGATCGTCTCGTCATGCATTATTATTTCAAACAGAAATTATTTATACATAAACTGAGGAATTCAATAATCATATATTACTGCGTATTACAACCAATTAAAAATACATATAAATGCAAAGGGAAAAAAAAGTCAAAAAAAACAAAAACATGAACTGTATACTACAATATATTGCATACCATCTATCTATCCTTGCATTGATTTGTATAATAATACAAATACCGTATCTTACTGTATCTTTTCTTATGTGATATCGTATCTTCTCTGTATTCATCCTTATTGACAGCTTATTCTGTGTCGATTTCAAAGGGTAAAAAGGGAGAAATAACTGTTGGAAATTCGAGAAAGGTTTTCAAAAAACAGGAAAATACCGGGAAGGAAAATAAAGCATATGACAGAAATGTTATCAGTATTGTGTTGTGGGCAAAATTATAGGATTTGGAATAGAATTGATGGATGAATGGTATAAATTCGAAATTTATTGACATTTTTGTTATCACCAAATATGTCATCATAATCATTCCATGTCAATTCTCAAATTATTAGCTAAATGGCTAATTTTTGGTTATATACAATCTTTGATGAATATAGAAGACTTCGATGAAAGATATTTTGCTTTCTAACAATAACTCTCGATTGTTGTAGACCAAACATTGTAAACGAAGCTTTGATACTTGCTACAAATGCGTTAATGGCTCAGAAGATCAATGCCAGAGAGAGAAGTTCGATTACAAATCTTGGAGATGTGTTCAGCTTAGCACAACTACATCCTCAATAGCATTACTTCAATACTAGCTGATACCTACATGTTCGAGAATATTAATATTGATCACGTAGTCAGATCAGTAAATATTTAGGATTGCATGGAGACAGCACTGGTAGAAATGTTCGAGAAATCCAGATAGTGGCGGTAAATGACTGGTAATTCAATGTTGTAAAAAAATAGGCAGTACAGTAGTTTTACATACATTAATCTTTGTACTTCTCATCAACTTTTTATGCACCAAAATCTTTGGCGAATTTTCCAGAAGTTCTATCTGCCTTTGCTAACTTGTTGCTAATCTCTTTCTTTCTCGATTTTAGCATCCGATGTCATGAATCGGCCTGGATAGTTGAACTATTGAACTGATTAAAGCTTTGATTCACCTGCGGTAATGTGAGAATGATGATAGTCATGCTGTGATTCAGGTTGATATAGAAGTGTAAGCTCGACCTCCTTCAGGATGATTGCCAGCGCAAAAATCTTTACAACTTCAGCAAAGGAAGATGTTAAACGCTGCATAGTTTCTTCTACGTGAACAACGATGGCGGTTTTGTCGTGAAAAATTAGATACAAAACACTTTGACGAAATATTTTTTGCTTCACTTTCAACTGCAACCCACTTGCATGTGACATATGATATGCGACATGGTCATATGAAAACAAATGCGTAATCTAATGCTTAAAACAAATTTGCATTATTTGCATTTCTCTCATTACAATAATAACCGCTCGAAGCTTTTCCTTCGCTTTTTTCCCTTAAAAAGCATTGGTAAGATTTATTAGCAAGAAAAATCGACCAATTTTTAAGGAAATCGAAGTTGAAATGAATTTTTTAAACTTTCAATTTTGCTCTTGTTAATTCCAACATACTGGAATGTAAATATGATGACAACTGGAAAGGAGACGACATGATAATATATTTTTCCAAATGTTTTATACTATATTTTGGTTGCTAAAAATCAAAAATTTAATTGAAGAAAAATACCAAAATGCAAAAGCAATGTAGCTGTTTTCAGATGGAACTACTGGAATTAGGAGAAAACGAGAAAGTAATAAGTTAAACTATTGTCAAAAGGAACAAAACAATGATAGCGAACGATTCATTTATGGAAAATTAAGGAGTAAAATAAAACATCTGAAATAATCAATTTATTCTACGAATAATTAGTAATTAATCCTTAACTGCATAATACAAAATGACAAGTGTATAAAATGACGTCACCTCATCAATTTAAATTAATTTATACTCAAGAACTTAATACTTTCAATGATCGAAAAAAAATTATACTTATTTTTGAAAATAAAACAAAAACAAGAAAAGTTAGGGAGTTTTAGATAACCAGGGAGAAATTCATCAATACAAAATGGTATTTACTTTCACTTACTTTATTTATTTGAAGAAAAAAAGGAAAACTTACTTTATGAAAAAGAACGCCATCTTTTAATGAGCCAATTTTATTATTAAAATAGATCGGTCGCTTACAGCGAAAACAAAGTTCTTTCATTCTTTCTGGAAAAATTTTTACTTCAATACCTTCAATAGCTTATCTAAGAAAGCTTAAATTACCAAAATATCATAAAGTAATACCATAAATACCGAATAAAATTTGATGTGGCAAGATCAATTGCACTTGATTATATTAGCAGCATTGCACATTTCTTTCCCTCTCTCTTATACATGCAAACTTGTAACCTAATAATTTTGTATGTGAAATAATAAATTCTGATTGTTTAAAGTTCGTTCGGATACATTCAATTGAATTCAAACATTTTTATTAAATTTTGATTGGCATCAATTTATACTATTTTCTGTTCGAAATAAATGATAATTGAAAAATTTTTTAAATAATACATGGATTTAATAACATTAAACATGATGAAACATAAACAATCATAAAGTGAAACACAATTTTCATATAACTATAAAGTCGAAAATTTTGCATCTATCATACAAATGGTGCCGATCGTGACTGTATAACAAATGTAACTTTTACTAGTAAAAAACAAATATTACCTTTATTTGTTACAATATTATATTTCATCGATACTTCAAGCATCATTTTAATTTTTTTGAAAATGTTGCTCAGAAATGCGGAAGGTCAAGTTTTAAAAGAAAGATCTGAAATGATATCCGGTTTGGCCCTTTTGTAACTAATAAATCCAGTTAAAACATTCGAGAAAAAAAAAAAGAAGACGGATTTTGTCCGAGATTAGAGTAGACGGATAATGGTAATATGATTTGTATAAAACCTCATTACCTTATTGAGTGCTCTGTCTCTTTTTGTACCTATCAAAATTTTTTAGCAGCTTACTTTTATTACGAGGTAGATGATATTTTGTAACTTCTTCCTTGTCCAACTGATAATGATTTAGTAATTCAAAAAGTATTCAAAGAGAGGTTTCTATTCTCAGTTTCGGCAAGACTTTTTGAAAGACAATACATTTAATTGTGTAAGTTCTTTTTTAATGGTAATTTTGTTGAAAACAACAGGTGTTTTATGTCAATACCTGAACAAATAACTTCAAAAATTTATATTTTATGATATTTACAAGTGACGCAAAATCATGTTCTTTCATGCAAATTTCACTGACAAGAAAATGCACTGGTCCGAATGGACGAAATTTAAATAGCATGAATGGTATGAAAAAAAATCACGTCTCTAATTTGCTTTGTAAAAATAAACATAATGTTTTTGCCCCTTTTTTATTATTAATTTTAAAATTTAGAAAACTAAGGTTAAAAATTTAGAGAAATAAAAGGTAAAAAAAAACCTATTTATTCAGCAATGTTAACTTATGATTTTGCGAGCTTCCTTTAATTGTTAATAATATTTGAAAAATTATCGTTTCTACTTTTCCAAATAACGAAATGATAAGAGCAAATATTGACACTTATGACAAAATTAATTCATATTGTATAAATGCTACATCGTAAATTGTAATACTTTTTATTGAATAAGAAAAAGAAGTGAAAGATGTGATCATACAAACTATTATTTCTGGTATTTCTAATTCTAGCAAAATTATTTCATTTTTGCTAATTAGATCAATAAAACTCTCATCAAGATAAAATCATCATCCAACTATCGAATAAATGAATTCTTAGAGAAGTTCTGGGATGTCAAACATCCATATTAAGATAGATATGTATTTTCATCAAATTGATACATGTTACAATAAATTTTGCAGAATATTAGAATTAATAGTAAATTTAACTCATTTTTCTCATAACATTACTCTCTTCATTTTGATTAAGAATGCCACTAAAAGGCTCCAACGTAAATGCCAGTTTATCTAAGATTTCGTTAACAAGGAAAACTTTAAGCATTGATAATTTAAAAGTTACTCATTACGAAGTATTTGCAATAATACAACTATCCAATTAGTAATCCATACGGAAAAAATTGAAACAGTATGAAATCAGTTAGATGATAAAGAGTAAAACTTCGACCTCAATTATTCTTTACCTATATGTGCGTTATGAATTAATAAACTAAAATTTTCATATGATAGGCTCAAAATGATTATTCAGATCCAATAATAATCATGCATAGTATAATTTAAAGATATA